ATCCGGCGGAGCCGGCGGGGCCGGCGGAACGATCCGGACGAGACCGAAAACATGTGTACCGCCCGCGCTAACGCTGGAGGTACAATAACATATTAATATCTGAATGTACCTTTTGTCTGTGTGACACTGAAAAGTCAATATGGCATTTTGTTTGCTATTACTGTATTAGACAACCAAAGCAACAACAAAGGCTTTGTCAGTTAGTAGGTTAATTTATTTGTTTAACCATTGAGCGTTTTGAGTTTCCACAAAATCCAGTGCCAAATACATTTTTTATCAGTGCTGTTTTGGCACTATGTTTCTTGATCACAGATACGGGCAAAAACCTAAGGTGTTACAAATTACTCTTACTAGGATAGTTTATACTGAATTCAAATATATGCTGAGTCCTTACTGCACTGTTTCTGCTAGTTTTATTTAACTTTGAGTATATATAAACTGTGCTCATGTGATTGCCCTCAAAATGTGCTCTTATTTTTTCAAAAAAATAATTGAGTACTTTTTTACATTTAGAGGATAAACTTTCCATTTACCCTTAACCTTTGTATCTTAATTGGGGGTTGGGGGAAGGAGGACTGATGAGGTAATTAATTCTGAAAACTCGTTATGTGTTTGTGGTATTCATTATGAGTTATCGATCAGGAATTTGTTCATGGATAGATTATTAAAATTTTCATTTGAATCAAGTTGGTTAAATAGTATGCAATTGGTTGTGGTAAAATGAAGGAAAATCTGTCTAAAAATGATATCAAAGCTAAAAAAAACGTTTTTCTTTCAAAATGCCATGTCTTCTTAACTTTGATGTATGAAAATTTATTTTCTTTTTTTAAATAGAAATTAAAATTTCATTGTATGTTTATAATTTTATATTCTTTTTTTTTCTAGCCCAGAAGAATCAGCGCAGTGTCCATTGCAGAAAGAGTAGCCAATGAGAGGTCAGAAAACCTTGGTGTGAGTTGTGGCTACAGTGTAAGATTTGAATCTGTGCTGCCACGACCATATGGTGCCATCTTATACTGCACTGTTGGTAAGATATTTAACTCCACATGTTTATATCATATGGTGCCATCTTATACTGCACTGTTGGTAAGATGTTTAACTTTACGTGCTTAAAACACATGTATGCATAATTTTCTTAAAATTAACTTAGAAAGACAGCTGTTTTGATGAAATATGGCCTACTATTGAAATTTTTTTATCATCATGACATGTATTGTGTGATGATTACTTATAAATTTGTATAAATCTGAAAATTGCTATGTTTAGTATTAATGAAATGTAAAGGCACTGAAGAGAGCATATTATTATGAATTTTTTAATGCAGTCACTTTATTTTAAGGCACATTACTGAGGAAACTGGAGAATGGTTTACGAGGTGTTTCTCATGTTATTGTGGATGAAGTACATGAAAGGGATCTCAATGTAGGGAATGCTACGTATCAAAATATCTTCACATATTTTAAATAATTAACTTCTATCAGAAAGAGAGAACCCAATTTTAAAACTAAATCTTTTTCTTTACTTTACATCTCACATTTATTTTAAAAATTGAGTGTATTAAGCAAATAGTAATGTTATATTTTATTAAATCCAAAAATAAAAAAATAAAATGTCATTGTGAAGTTATTAGTATTTCCCATTTTACTTGGTTTTATGTTTTTTTTTAAATGATAGAAATAAAACTTACATTATCATATTTAAAAAACTAATAGAGTTTAAAATGTCTGTTTACAGACTGATTTCTTGATGGTGATGTTACGAGACATGGTCCATGTTTACAAAGATCTCCGTATTGTCATTATGTCTGCCACTGTGGACACGACCTTATTCACTGACTACTTTGGCTCAGTGGAAGTTGTAGAAGTCCATGGCAGACTGTTCCCTGTGCAAGGTATTGAGGGTGTAGTCTTGGGGTTACTTGAAAACATTATCAGATACTGTGTTAAGTTTGTGGATTTTGTAGCAGTAAACATTTTCTGTCATTATTACCTCTTGTTTCCTATTTTAATGATGTTGATGCGTGCACCCCTCACTACACACACACACACACACACACACACACACACACACACATCAGATTAGTCTAAAAATTACTGTCTACATGTAAAATAAAGTTGAATAAATATCGAACCATCACAATTTCCTGATGCATATATAAACATTATTATTGAAAATACATTATCAGGAAGTTACAGGTTATGGAACATATTTATGATGAACTATTATGATGATTACAGACTATTACTTGGAAGATTGTGTCCAGATGTTGAACTTTATTCCTCCACCTTCCAACAAGAAGAAGCGGGACAAAGATGACATTGCGGATGAAGAAGGGGAGAAAGAGGTAGTCATTGGTTATAGTTTTATCCATTTATTTTCAGTAAAAATGTCAAACCTATTAATTCATCATTTGTTTTAATTGTTACGTTTTAGTCTATGTTGTTATGTTATCTTAAGTTATGTTTTATGCTATGTATGCTATGCTATATGTAAGCATATATTGCTATACTATATCCTTATATTACTTAGGAAAATTGCAATATGATGATTTCATCAGATTATAATGACACAACTAGAAGAGCCATGGTCATGCTGAGTGAGAAAGAGATGTCATTTGAACTTATTGAGGTGAGTATGATTCTAGTTACAAAGCTAATTTTAGTTGAAAGAAAATTTTGTAAAGCAAATGAAAAAAAATTAAGCCAGTAACGATAATTGATCATTTTCCTACTGTAAACAGCAGTGTGTGTGAATGTCTGTCACAGTGTGTGTGTGTGTGTGTGTGTGTGTGTGTGAATGTCTGTCACAGTGTGTGTGTGTGTGTGTGTGTGTGTGTGTGTGTTGGAGCTAAATAGTCTAAAGCAGCCAAGTATTCAACCTTAAGGTTGAAACTCATTTGTTTCTTATTCTAATTTTTATACTGCCATTAAATCTTTGCCAATTATAAAAGTTCGCATTACCATGGGAACAGTAGATGCTGATAGAATGCCAAATTTATATGCATTGCAGGTATTGTGTATTATATTATTATAATATTGACAATTATGATATATTCCAGGCACTTTGCAAGTATATCAAGAACCTTGGTATCCCTGGTGCCATCTTGATATTTCTCCCAGGGTGGAACCTGATATTTGCCTTACACAGACACCTGTCAGAGCACCCAGAGTTTGGTAAGAAAACAAACAGCAAACACATTTGATTAAAAAAAAAAAATTATTGACCTTATCGTGGAGTAGTATAGTATGAGTATTTTTATTGTTAATACTTAGATATTGAAGATGATGAGGCAGCGATTTAATGAAGATGTTTGTTTAAACTACTTTGATAACATTGAAGTGTATTTTACACAGAATATTTATATGACACTGCAGGGGCGGATCCAGAGATATTTTCTGAGAGTCTTCCAAATTATCTTTGTTGATCCATCCTCCATTTTTGACCGTCTTCCAACAGAAAAAAAATAGATACCTGTCAATGTAAACTTGAAAATCTGACCGTCTTCCGGAAGACCCAGAAGACGGCCTAAATCCGCCCCTGCACTGTATGTTTGAATTATTTCAGTAAAATGCAGAAATGTCCCTTCTGTTTAGTTTTTTCTATACATTTTAACTTTTCAAAGTAAAAACTATTATATTTACATCAGTTGGTTTACACATAAAAGTTTGTCTTTCAGGTGGCCCTGCATATCGTCTGCTTCCACTTCATTCCCAAATCCCAAGGGAAGACCAACACAAGGTTTTTGAGCCAGTACCTGAAGGTGTTACAAAGGTAGGGGTAGTTGAATACAAATAGATGTGTTTTATTTTGTTTATCTGCTTGTGCTTATGTAGAATTGTGAATTGCATAATAGGAGTCTTTAAAGTTAAGTAATTTGACATATTATGATATTTATTATATAACTCACCATTATAGAACAATTACGTTTTCAATATATGTCCATCAGCATTGTTTGGTCTAGATTAATGTAGCTAATATTTTCACTTATTTCAGATCATTCTGTCCCTTAACATTGCTATATAAATGTTAAGTTTGGATTAGTGTATCAAAATATTCTCACTTGTTTCAGATCTGTCACCATGCATCATAAATTATAAGCTGTAAGAATTGTGAATTTTGATATGAAATAAGTCTTTGAAGTTAAGTAATGTGGCATATGGTATATTTTATATACCTCAGCATTATAAAAATATTCAATATATGTCCATTGGCCATGTGAAGTTTGAATTTATTTAGTGTATCAAAATATTCTCACTTATTTCAGATCATTCTGTCCACCAACATTGCTGAGACCAGTATCACTATCAATGATGTTGTTTATGTCATTGACTCTTGCAAGTAAGCTAGTGACAATAGAATTAAGTATGAAAAAAGTAATGAATTATAATAGATAAATGAAGCATGATTTATTTTCAAATGATGAAATGTTGAAAAGGCAAAGAGAGGTGTAATATTCAAATAAATTTGATTATGGCTTTAGCATTTGTAATATAAATTTGGATCACTGTCAGAAAAATACAACAAATTTCACATTGATTTAGTATAAAATATTTCATTCTAGAGACAAAATGTAGCTCTGATTTGTCTCCAGTGACCTGCAATGATCACTATTTTTCAATTCAAAATGTCCTTAACTTTGTCAAAAATGTGCCAGCTAACATCTCATACTAATGATCTGTTATTTCCAGAGCCAAAATGAAGCTGTTTACATCCCATAATAACATGACAAACTATGCCACTGTGTGGGCCTCCAAGACAAACCTAGAACAAAGGAGGGGGAGGGCAGGACGTGTTAGACCAGGGTTCTGCTTCCACTTGTGTAGTAGAGCCAGATATGAAAGGTATGGGATAGACAAAGAGATTAGTTGTACAACTATCAAAGTAATTAAGACATTCTATGAATGATTGACAGTTTAACAGTTTTTCTCATTTGATACTTGAAATTGCTTTATGGGATATTTTCATAGATGAGATCATATTGTGTGGCATTAAGTAATATATCATTGATTAATTAATATATGAATTATATAAAATAAAAGCTGTTCATTTAAATTAATTTTATTTGTTTTAATTGTGTTTCGCAAAAGTAGTATAAAAGCATCTAAAGCTTTTTGAAAATTTGATGACCATTTTGCCAAATTTAGATTAGAACAGCACACAACCCCTGAGATTTTCCGTACACCACTTCATGAATTGGCACTGAGCATCAAGTTACTGAGGCTTGGAGAGATTGGTCCTTTCTTGGCCAAAGCTGTGGAACCACCACCTATTGATGCAGTCATTGAAGCTGAAGCCTTACTGAAAGGTTTGCTATGCTTGGGTGTACCTTTAGTAAACTGTCATGCTCATTTTTTTTTTTTTTTTTTTCACTTATTTATAATAACACAGGATTCCTATTCATATATTAATTGCCTCAACATAAACAGTGTCATGTCAAATACTGAAACTAACTTCAACTAAAAAAAACATAATTTTTGTTGTTTCTTATAGGTTATCAAAAACGTTTTTGAAAACTCTTGATTTAATGTCTGAATTTTAGAGATGGGTGCCCTGGACAGGAACAATGAGTTGACCCCTCTTGGGAAAATCCTGGCCAAATTGCCAATAGAGCCCAGACTGGGAAAGATGATCATTTATGGCTGTATCTTCTAGTAGGTCCACTTGTGTGTGTGTGTGTGTGTG